CACTCACAAACTTCACCAAGTTGAGAAAGTTCATGTAAATTATATTTTGTTTCTTAAATTAAGTCTTCAGTTTGAGAGCTTCAGGGGATTTTAGTTACAAGCAGCGATCGAGGCAAAAATCTTCAAGTAATTTATTCCCTTTTGCCCTTTTCTTGTGTTATTGTAATCAAATTTCTGATTTTTTGCTTGTGATTTTGTCATGTTATCTTTTCTTCATTGTTATTGCTACGTGAACATGAACTAGTTGCTCTAAACTCAAGTTGTGTTAAAATGGGGTTTTATCTCATGTCTTTGTTTTGTGTGTGAGCTTTTTATTTCCTTATTTTGGCTTTCTTTTCAATCTTGGTTAGAGTTGCTTGGTAATTCAAGGAACTGATTGTTTGCTCACTTGTTTTGATGCAAACTTACATCAATTGAGAAAATTCGTATAAAGATAGATTTTTATTTCTTAATTAAGTCTTCAGTTTGAGAGCTTCAGGGGCCTTCAGTTCCAAGCGGGAATTGGGGCAAAATCATCAAGTAATTGATTCCCTTTGCTAGGGTTGTTTGTCATCTGAAATGTCTAGATTCATATCAATATTACTGATTTTTGTTTTGATTTTTGTCATATTTTGCTACAGGATGGAGGGAAAAGTTCGGTCTGTTTCTGTTTGTGGGTGTTGACATGCTTGATTCTTGCTGCTTGCTCTAGTGGGCTACTGAGAATTGGTTGAAGAAGCGGCGCCTTGATCTTCATAGTATAATGCTGCTAGAGTGGCAAGAAAGGAGGGAGTTAGGCTAATCATTTGTGTTTTCAGATAAGTTCTTGTGCCTTTGAGAACTATTTGGATGCTCAATACTTTGAAGATCGGTATTGGCTCGCCGCCGCAAAATTTCACTGTGATATTGATACTGGCAGCTCCAATCTCGGGTTCCATCCTCACAATGCTATTTTTCTGTGAGTTCTGGTTGATTCTGGCTTATTGCTGTTTATGTATTGATAAAAGTTTATTAAAAGCTTTTAATTATGTGCAGATCGCCTGCTATTTCCATTCACGTACAAATCAAGCAAGTCTAGTACATATACAGAGAATGGTAATATTCCGTTTCATGAACGTTATATTTTCTCGACCATAATTGTGTGGTTAAAAGCTGAAATTTTTCTTCTTGAGTGGTTATTCAGGAAAACCTTGTGAAAAAATTATGGATCTGGATCCGTTTCTGGTTTCTTTCAGTCAAGACAATGTTGAAGTCGGAGATCTTGTTGTCAAGGATCAGTGGGTTCTTGTTCTGAGAGTTTTGGAAATTAGTTTGTCCTTTGGTTGCAGAAATGCTTATGCATGTAAAGTTTTGTTCTTCAGGTTTTCATTGAGGCTACGCGAGAAGGAAGTTTAAGTTTTTGTATTGGCAAATTCGATGGAATACTTGACTTGGATTTCAGGAGATTTCGGTTGGGGGTGCTGTGCCAGTGGGTAGGATTCTTTTCTAAACTTGGTGCTTGTGCTTCGGGTTTGTGATTTAGATCTTTGGTGTCTTGGATAAACGATTCTTGGTTAAGTCCACAGGTATAATATGGTCCAGCAGGATCTTTGTAATTGAGGACGTCTTCCTCGTTCTGGCTCAACAGGATCCTGAGGCCTCTGAGGGCGGTGGAGATGTTTTGGTGGTGTTGTATCAAAGCACTTTAAAGGGAAGCACCACTTATGTTCCTGTTACTCAGAAAGGTTACTGGCAGGTGTGTAGCCCAAAAATTGGTGGAAATTTTTGTCATCGCTATCCATGAGAAGAAATTGTATTTTATGTTAATTTGCATTTTATAGTTCAATATGGAGATTTTCTTATTGGGGCTGTTCACAGTGATTTGTGGAACTTTCTTTGGAAATCCATAGCTTTTTCCAAATAGTAATTGGCAAAATTTGAAAATTGTGATTAATTTTCTCAGGTTATTGTGAGGGGGTTGTGCTGCTATTGTGGATTCAGGAACATCCTTACTCGCTGGTCCAACGGTATGGGCTTTTCATCCTTTCACAGTTGCTTTATTCTGAAAGTCTTCAGGCTTGATCAAATATCCTTCTTGTGATTTCATAAAATGTAATCATCTTTAAAGTTGCAACTAATAATTTATAATTGTCAGTCTGTTGTGACTGAAATCAATCATGCCATTGGAGCTGAAGGTATTATCAGTGCAGAATGTAAGGAAGTTGTTTCTCAGTATGGAGACTTGATATGGGAACTCTTAGTGTCAGGGGTAAGTTTTCTTCTACCACTTTCATTTCATTTCACAATCTATATAAATGTATCACATTTTAGATTTAACGAATTACTTTGTCATGGTCTACAGGTTCAACCTGACAAAGTATGTGCGCAACTTGGTTTATGTATCTTCAATGGAAATCACTCTGTGAGGTTAGAAAATTAATACTATTCATGTTCTACTTCTTTCCCAACGTTTTTTCTGTAACTTGTAAGTTAGAACATCAAAATTAAAGCTTCTCGTAATGATGATCCAAGATTTTCCAAATGTGACAAGGGTTTGGATGATGTGCTTCTTCCTAAAACCTTTCTCCTTTCTGTCACAAATTGCCCTTTCCTTTCTCTCTGTGGTAGCAATGCTTAAGGATCTTGAGTTATTTAAATGTATTCAAGAAATCCTCTAGACTAACTTGTTTTATCTTTGCAGTACGGGCATCAAACAAGTGGTTGCGAAGGAAAATATGGATAGAGTATCAGCTGGGGATAGTGCTCTCTGCAGTGCTTGCGAAATGATGGTTATTTGGGTCCAGAATCAGCTAAAACACCAGGGAACAAAGGACAAAGTACTCGACTATGTAAATCAGGTGATAGTTGGAACTTTAGCCCGTTTAAATTCATAAACCTATATTAGTAACAATTTTTTGCTCTTTAATTTAGTAAATTTTTTACTATATTATCATCAACAGCTCTGTGAGAGCCTACCAAGTCCAATGGGAGAATCAATAATAGACTGTAACAGCATGGTAAACATGCCAAATATCACATTCACCATTGGCGATAAGCCTTTCAAACTCACTCCTGAGCAGGTTAGATTTCTTTATGATATAAGCACTCTGGTACATTATACTTTCTTATGTTTAATGACTGATTTTACTCATTCTTAATATTATGTACTGATCACTCTCTTTGTTTGCCACCGCTCATGTTCTTCAGTACATTCTTAAAACTGGAGACGGCGTTGCTACAGTCTGCATCAGTGGTTTCATGGCTTTGGATGTGCCACCGCCAAGGGGTCCTCTGTGGTATGTTTTCTTAACATTTCAATTACACATACTAAACCGCACATTGACACAGCCAGTTCATGTTTCAGTTCCCTTTGGTTAATCACTGAAATTCTATCGATGCAGGATTCTGGGAGATGTATTCATGGGGGTATATCACACCGTCTTCGACTACGGTAATCTGGAAATTGGTTTTGCTGAGGCTGCTTAGTTGGCTACTGTCAGGTTTCTTAAAAATAGTGATGATCACACTAGCTCTCATGGCAAGAACATAAAGTACTCCAGACTTTGATATATGACTCTTAATGATCACTATTGTTGATATAATCAAGTTCATCTGTAATTATATTATGTGCGAATCCACTTCTGAACTCAGTGATATATATATATTCTTATTAGTTAATCTGAAACTCAATATCCATGGTATTTTCTCCCGATTGAAGTCTTTTGACTTTTTATATATTTGATCATTGTTTTAAAACCCGGATTGGAGGGTAACCTGCTTTACTGCCCAAGTCAACCAGTCTAACCGGTTAGACAGGTCAGTTAGACCGGTGACATTAGCACTGCCCAAAAAAATATGTTTTTTTTTTTTTTAGAAAATTTTCAGATTTTCAATAAGAATACCAACTTAATTACCACCCAATTCAAACTCAATAACAATTCCAACATGATTTAATTACAATCCAAAGTCTCCAAACATGATGTGTTCATTTATTATAAATTAAGTGACAAAATACATAATAATTAATAACAAAACATTTGGTGTAAGTATTTTTTACATACAAATTCAGTGAACAAATTATGCATCAAAGCAATAGATTCATAAAATAAAGACAGTGGAAATATCTTTACAAAAGAGAGAGTCATCGTCTTCGTCAATTTTGAGCAAGAGAAGTGTTGTCATCGTCGATTCCAGTAGAGGAGGGAGTCGTCGTCGTCGAGCAAGGGAGAAGGGAGGTGCGTCACCGCCGAAATCCAGCAAGGGAGGTGCTGCCATCGTCGGGCGACACAATCCAGCGAGGGAGGTGCTGTCGTTGTCGAGCAAGGGAGGAGAAGGGAGGTGCGTCGCCCCTGAAATCCAGTGAGAGAGGTGATGCCGTCATCGAGCAAGGGAGAAGGGAGGTGCGTCGTCATCGAAATCCAGCGAGGGAGGTGTTGTCGTCGTCGAGCAAGGGAGAAGGGAGGTGCATCGTTGTCGAAATCCAACGAGGGAGGTGTTGTCGTTGTCGAGCAAGGGAGAAGGGAGGTACGTCGTCTTTGAAATCTAGCGAGGGAGGTGCTGCCGTTGTCGGGCAAGGGTCCAAGGGAGAGTAGAGTTGAGAGATTGAATTGAGACTGAGCGTAGTTACTTTGAGAAGGGAGTTGCGATTTTAGAGAGTTGAGAGATTGAAGAGACTAGAATGGAGTGGAGGCACGTGAAAAAAACTTAGATTTAAGGTTTTTTCATTTTAAACATTGAGCCGTTTTACCAAGCAGTCCAGTTCGATCGGTCGATTCGCACTATGCATTCAATTTAATAGCGGGTTTAAACAGTTTTTTAACTAATAGCGGGTTTTATATTACTTCGGACCGAACACACAACCAGGTCCTAGTCAAACCGGTTGGACCGACCGGTCTAGCTTTTAAAACAGTGTATTTGATTAGACTTCAGACAATTAAGATGGGAAAATGTTCATGCTTAGAGGTGAGTGACTTTGAGCATCATCATTTGTAAAACGTTCTTACTTTGTCCATCTCCGAATCAATCAACGTGAGACAGTAAAATCACCATGAATGACTTGAGTATAGCTTATGGAGGTGACATAATCAAACAAGAAATCTACAAAGTTCTGTATATATCAGTCTTTCCGACAAAGCAAATAAATACTCGTTACTCAAGTCTCGTACATTTGAGTTTAACGTGAACCCTTTGAAAAGAGACTACACTGTTACATGACACCAAGAAGTTATGAGATCATTACATCGGGAACGTTGCTAACTAGCAGTGGCCGTTGCTATTATTCATTGTTCTTCATCACTGTCGTTGCCGAACACTGAGGCGACACCTACTTTTGGCTTCTTTGCAGCACTTCCAGATGAGTTCTGCAAAATAAACAAGAGCGTTATCTCATAGTTGAAAGAAGTATTGTCCACGAAAGTGATGAGTTCCATTCATCAGAATTAATTTCAATATCAAGATCTCTTGTGCAAAACTAGGAAATTATTAGATTGAATCTCTAGTTGGACGTACCTTAGAAATGCCACCTTTAGAAGAAAATCCGAATTTTAATGCCTTCCGTTGATCCTGATTGGCAAGTGCAGTAGCAGTTTTTGGTGCAGTGGAGGCTGGACCAGACCCAGATTCTTCTTCCTGTTGTTGCTGTTGCTGTTGCTGCTGCTGCTGCTGCTGCTGCTGCTGCTGTTGTTTATGGGCGTCAGCCCTAGGTAACATTAAGGAATAAAAATGTAAGAGGAGATGGCAAGAAACAAGAAAAAACTGAAACATCGCTTAAAGTCAACGGGAAATAAATGTAAGAATAGATAGGCTAAAGGGAAGCGCAACACAATACATTTGAGCAAACTTAGCCATCTCCCTCTCCTGACGTTGCTGTTCTCGTTTTTGCCGATCGTCGCGACTGCTTGAACCATGCAACTCTTTCATTTCTTTAAAACGCTACAATCCACACAAAGTTGTTGCAGATTTAGGCAAGAACAAAAAGAATGCACCATAATACCAACTAACAATACCAAAATTCAACATTTACCTTCCTGTGATTGTGGTCGTATGAGCTCAGATGGGCTTCAAATTCCACAGCCAATTTGTATTGTTTGTTGCAAAGATCACAATAGAACACCTTCCGTATTTCCTTCACCTCGGTTTGAATTTTCTGCTCACGTTCTGCTAACACCTGAATTTTCATAATGTGCACGAAGCAGGCAGTAGAAGCCACCAGGTAATAAAAACTGCAGGATATTGTCAAGAGCTTCCAAAGTTGATATTCCCCTATGATATATCATTCCGGTCAAAAGACAAACATATATACTATATGTTGTCTTCTGCTATTAGATGTGGGTTCCAGAAAAGGTAAAGCATCAACCTCTATATTATCTAGGAATTATAGTATCTATAGACTACTATCTAGAAATTAAAAGGCATACCTCCCGCTTCTTGGCATTCTCCTCAGTCTCCTCTAGCTCAATATCAAGTTTCTTTCGCTGGATATTTTCTTCAGCCGTAAAAAAATCATCTTCTTCTTGTTTTCCAATCCCTAGTTTTGGGTCTCTGATCCCAGATTTTATTGGCTCAGTAATTCCTGAACATGAGTAACTAGTTAAAACTAGAACAGAGTTTCTACAATTGTTGTTAAAACTCAGTTGTCGATCACAGTAGCTGAAACCTGTACATCAAAATTCTCCTCTAAGACCATACCTTGCTCATCCTTCCCAAGACCTTTTCCTTTCCACCCCATTTTTTGTAGAAGCCTAAACCCAATATTTGACGATGTCAATTTCGTATCCAATGATGCTTGTTCCACGTTATCCAGATCAACATTCTCTGTTGGCTTCTGATGGATTGGCAATCGAAAATCCTCTGCCAAATCCTCAATAAGAGACTCCTCATATGCCTACACCACAAATGAAAAGAATAACTAAACACAATAGCACTAGAGATTTCTTCCAGATTCAGAATGTCCTGGTTAACTAAAAGGATAATCAACACATAAAATTAAACCCATTTGATTAAATAACAACAGAAACAAAAACCACTTCTTCACCCGACCTAATGGAAGCAATAAAGCGACATATCAATCCTAAGCAATTTGATATATCTATAGCGTACCTGCTCCTTGTCCTGTTGCCGTTTATCTCGACTGCTTATTTCCTGTCTACCATTATACCATCTGTAATCCATTCTTTATCACCTACATTATTGAAGCCACAAAAGATTAATAGAATTATTTCCACTGAGTCAATCAATTTAGAGTCCAAAACAGTTGAGAAACTTGTGTACTGAATTTCCGATGCTGAACAATACCGCAATTTATTAGTTATCCGATTATCAATCTTAGTTAAGAATTGGCAACGAGAGGCATTATAAGACACAAGAAAACTAATTAAAGGACAAATACATATTATCACATTTGCATCACAACATGCTTTCATATCCGGTTCTTGCAAACCCATATTATTATCTTCATGAAAAAATAAGAAATGACAAGGCAAAGCAAAAGAAAAGCCTACAACTATGAACTCCAATTTTCATTGTGATGGACTCAGTAAATTAAGAACAAATCTACACGTTAAAAGAATTAGAAATCAAACAGCATACTACTTTATTAAAACAGAACCTAACTCACAAAACTATAGACCAAAAATGATACTTTATTTTAGTTTCTTTAGGAGGTGCATCGTTGTCGAAATCCAACGAGGGAGGTGTTGTCGTTGTCGAGCAAGGGAGAAGGGAGGTACGTCGTCTTTGAAATCTAGCGAGGGAGGTGCTGCCGTTGTCGGGCAAGGGTCCAAGGGAGAGTAGAGTTGAGAGATTGAATTGAGACTGAGCGTAGTTACTTTGAGAAGGGAGTTGCGATTTTAGAGAGTTGAGAGATTGAAGAGACTAGAATGGAGTGGAGGCACGTGAAAAAAACTTAGATTTAAGGTTTTTTCATTTTAAACATTGAGCCGTTTTACCAAGCAGTCCAGTTCGATCGGTCGATTCGCACTATGCATTCAATTTAATAGCGGGTTTAAACAGTTTTTTAACTAATAGCGGGTTTTATATTACTTCGGACCGAACACACAACCAGGTCCTAGTCAAACCGGTTGGACCGACCGGTCTAGCTTTTAAAACAGTGTATTTGATTAGACTTCAGACAATTAAGATGGGAAAATGTTCATGCTTAAAGGTGAGTGGCTTTGAGCATCATCATTTGTAAAACGTTCTTACTTTGTCCATCTCCGAATCAATCAACGTGAGACAGTAAAATCACCATGAATGACTTGAGTATAGCTTATGGAGGTGACATAATCAAACAAGAAATCTACAAAGTTCTGTATATCACAGTCTTTCCGACAAAGCAAATAAATACTCGTTACTCAAGTCTCGTACATTTGAGTTTAACGTGAACCCTTTGAAAAGAGACTACACTGTTACATGACACCAAGAAGTTATGAGATCATTACATCGGGAACGTTGCTAACTAGCAGTGGCCGTTGCTATTATTCATTGTTCTTCATCACTGTCGTTGCCGAACACTGAGGCGACACCTACTTTTGGCTTCTTTGCAGCACTTCCAGATGAGTTCTGCAAAATAAACAAGAGCGTTATCTCATAGTTGAAAGAAGTATTGTCCACGAAAGTGATGAGTTCCATTCATCAGAATTAATTTCAATATCAAGATCTCTTGTGCAAAACTAGGAAATTATTAGATTGAATCTCTAGTTGGACGTACCTTAGAAATGCCACCTTTAGAAGAAAATCCGAATTTTAATGCCTTCCGTTGATCCTGATTGGCAAGTGCAGTAGCAGTTTTTGGTGCAGTGGAGGCTGGACCAGACCCAGATTCTTCTTCCTGTTGTTGCTGTTGCTGTTGCTGCTGCTGCTGCTGCTGCTGCTGCTGCTGTTGTTTATGGGCGTCAGCCCTAGGTAACATTAAGGAATAAAAATGTAAGAGGAGATGGCAAGAAACAAGAAAAAACTGAAACATCGCTTAAAGTCAACGGGAAATAAATGTAAGAATAGATAGGCTAAAGGGAAGCGCAACACAATACATTTGAGCAAACTTAGCCATCTCCCTCTCCTGACGTTGCTGTTCTCGTTTTTGCCGATCGTCGCGACTGCTTGAACCATGCAACTCTTTCATTTCTTTAAAACGCTACAATCCACACAAAGTTGTTGCAGATTTAGGCAAGAACAAAAAGAATGCACCATAATACCAACTAACAATACCAAAATTCAACATTTACCTTCCTGTGATTGTGGTCGTATGAGCTCAGATGGGCTTCAAATTCCACAGCCAATTTGTATTGTTTGTTGCAAAGATCACAATAGAACACCTTCCGTATTTCCTTCACCTCGGTTTGAATTTTCTGCTCACGTTCTGCTAACACCTGAATTTTCATAATGTGCACGAAGCAGGCAGTAGAAGCCACCAGGTAATAAAAACTGCAGGATATTGTCAAGAGCTTCCAAAGTTGATATTCCCCTATGATATATCATTCCGGTCAAAAGACAAACATATATACTATATGTTGTCTTCTGCTATTAGATGTGGGTTCCAGAAAAGGTAAAGCATCAACCTCTATATTATCTAGGAATTATAGTATCTATAGACTACTATCTAGAAATTAAAAGGCATACCTCCCGCTTCTTGGCATTCTCCTCAGTCTCCTCTAGCTCAATATCAAGTTTCTTTCGCTGGATATTTTCTTCAGCCGTAAAAAAATCATCTTCTTCTTGTTTTCCAATCCCTAGTTTTGGGTCTCTGATCCCAGATTTTATTGGCTCAGTAATTCCTGAACATGAGTAACTAGTTAAAACTAGAACAGAGTTTCTACAATTGTTGTTAAAACTCAGTTGTCGATCACAGTAGCTGAAACCTGTACATCAAAATTCTCCTCTAAGACCATACCTTGCTCATCCTTCCCAAGACCTTTTCCTTTCCACCCCATTTTTTGTAGAAGCCTAAACCCAATATTTGACGATGTCAATTTCGTATCCAATGATGCTTGTTCCACGTTATCCAGATCAACATTCTCTGTTGGCTTCTGATGGATTGGCAATCGAAAATCCTCTGCCAAATCCTCAATAAGAGACTCCTCATATGCCTACACCACAAATGAAAAGAATAACTAAACACAATAGCACTAGAGATTTCTTCCAGATTCAGAATGTCCTGGTTAACTAAAAGGATAATCAACACATAAAATTAAACCCATTTGATTAAATAACAACAGAAACAAAAACCACTTCTTCACCCGACCTAATGGAAGCAATAAAGCGACATATCAATCCTAAGCAATTTGATATATCTATAGCGTACCTGCTCCTTGTCCTGTTGCCGTTTATCTCGACTGCTTATTTCCTGTCTACCATTATACCATCTGTAATCCATTCTTTATCACCTACATTATTGAAGCCACAAAAGATTAATAGAATTATTTCCACTGAGTCAATCAATTTAGAGTCCAAAACAGTTGAGAAACTTGTGTACTGAATTTCCGATGCTGAACAATACCGCAATTTATTAGTTATCCGATTATCAATCTTAGTTAAGAATTGGCAACGAGAGGCATTATAAGACACAAGAAAACTAATTAAAGGACAAATACATATTATCACATTTGCATCACAACATGCTTTCATATCCGGTTCTTGCAAACCCATATTATTATCTTCATGAAAAAATAAGAAATGACAAGGCAAAGCAAAAGAAAAGCCTACAACTATGAACTCCAATTTTCATTGTGATGGACTCAGTAAATTAAGAACAAATCTACACGTTAAAAGAATTAGAAATCAAACAGCATACTACTTTATTAAAACAGAACCTAACTCACAAAACTATAGACCAAAAATGATACTTTATTTTAGTTAAATGAAAATTATCACAAAAAAAATAATAATAATAATAATAATAATAAAAATAAAATTTAAATAATTTCTAACTTTCTGGTTGCACTTATGTATGGGTTGTAACTAAACTAGATTTCCCAGGTGGGAAACGATTCGACTAAAGATATATGCAATACAACGCAAACTTGACAAAAGTAAAGCATGATCATTGAAATTCATACAAAACCCTAAAGACATAGAACTAATCAAACTTCAAAAAAAAAAAAAAAAAAAAAAAAAAAAAAGAGTACTTTTTCTTGAAATTAATCAGAAACCCAGTTGAATAAATCTTGAAAAAAAAAAATGTAATTAAGAGTAATAAATTACCTGATTAGCAATAGAAAATCCGCTCTGCTTCGGGATCTCGTGCTTCTTCCTCAAATCAGTCGATCGATTTAATATAAGCGTTATGGGCCCAACGGCCCAGTTGAAATTGAATTTGGTCCCTTCCTCTAAGCCCAATTTTTTATTTTGTGGAGTGCTTTTCAAAGTGCATAACGAATAATACTGAGTATAGGATTGATAACATAGAATGTTAGTAATAGATTTGTATCATTAGACACAAAGATTGACAATGAGCGTTTCATCTTACATTTCTTGTTATATTAAACCTATTAATTATTTGTTATCTTAATCTTTTATTTATTGTGATACTACTATCTCATGCTCAACGTTATTTACCTATTATCCAATATATCAAACTTTTAATTTCTAAAGTATTTAAAGGCAAATCTTGAATTCCATAGAGCATTTGAAAATAATGCCTTTATTCTTTGTGGACGCCCCTTCTCAATATGCATGATGTTTCTTAATCTTATCAAACTTATAGTTAAGAAAATCCTGAGATGAATTTTGTAAAGATTATGGGTGGCCATAATGTCTTGGTAGAGATCAATTTTAGTTTGTGTATAGTGAAGTGATTGATTGGTGGTCAATCATGATACCATTCACTACCAACATGATAGGGAGCTTACGGGTCATACATATAAGAATTTTAAATCCCATAACATGAATGCATTAGTGGTTTGTGGAGTGGATTGTTGTGTTTCCAAAATTATGTGGTTGCTTAATTTTGGGAATTGGTTCTGACAATTTTGATCTCTTTAATAAACCCAGTCAAGACCGCGATTTAAAGTTTTTGTTAAGAGGTATTTTGTACTAAAGGGTACTTTGATAATTTTGTTGTGTAATTAAGTGAATGTAAAAGTTTACTTAATTTTGAGGTTGTCGCCTATAACTATTTCTACATGAAATAGTATTAGCAAAAATTACAAAGTTAATTTAAATTAAAATACCTATTATTATTATTTATATTCTAAAGAAGCATAGAATTAATGC